GTGCAAATTTAAGGTACCACCCCCCAGGCTCCACTGAAGATCCTCAGCCTAGGACTAACTGAATTTGCATTTCTAACGAGCACCCCAGGTGATTCCAATGCAGTCTGAGGACATCACTTAGCAGAGTAAGTTTCATGAAGTTGTGACTCCTAGTGACAGAGTTGGAGGGAAGATACAGGATAGAGCCTGGGCATCTCAACCATCCTGTGTCCGCTGGAGTCTACAGCCAGCCCCAGCCCCAAGGGTGCTCGACTTTGGGTCTTTTCAATCACCAGTAAGTAACCAGGAGTCCATACACCTGGATCCTAGTATATACAGAACTAATTCAAAACCACACATTTTGATGGAGCTCCTTTGGGGCCAGATTCTACTCTTCTGAGACCAAGAGCCACACGAAGATACACAAGGTCTGCCTTCCACTCTCGAGAACCCTGGGACCTGGCACAGCACCTAGTCTCTAGGTTTCAGTTCCTTCCTTCTCTCCAAAGAGTATAAAAATACTAACACCTCACCAAGAGATGATGAGGCTCCCTGGTTGTCCTGGTGGTTGTGGTGGCTTTTATTGCTAGAGGTAAAAGTTGGGTTGTCCGGGGGTTCCAAAGGGTCAGGGAGCCTTGAGGACAGAAACCCTAATTGTGGGGAGACAGCCTGGGCCTCCGGGTCTCTCCCTTAGTTCTTTCTAAAACTGCCAGATCTTCATGTGCCTTGAAGAGGTGGCTGCTGCAAAACTGAACTTCCTGCACCTCTTCCCAGGCCTGACCTCTCCCTTCCTCACTGTGACCCTGGCCTCCACCCACAGGAAAAATGCAGATTATGCTTGTTGCAGGCCAAACCCTTCTCCAGGGTCAGCCGCCCAACAGGGGAGCCCTACAAGAGGAAGAGCAGTTAGCTTGGACTTATTTTGTCATAAATTTAAACCTCAGGCCAGCCACTAGCTGGCTTCTACAAATTCCTTTTGCTCTCTTAGCCTCAGTTTCCTCACCTGTAAAATGGGAGAATAATACAGGTGGGGCAAAGGTAGGTTTATAGTTATGAGTACGTGAAACAGAGTTTACTCATATTATTATTTTTTCACTACTGTATTATTTTCCAGACCACTGTAAACCTACTCTTACCCCCACTTTAGCCCCACCCTGTATTTTGTAGGGATCCCAAGCCCCTTCCCCTGGATTACCCATCCCAGCAACAGACAACACACTTTGCTTAGTTGCTGAAGCTGGTAACCCTGGACCCCCTCTTCATGCTCCACAGTCAACCAGAGGGCACTAAACAATTTTGAAACCCATGCCCACTGGCCCTCCCTGGAACCCAGGCCATTCTCCCTTTGGCCTGGACTTCTGCCATCACCCACGTCTGTGTGGGTCCTCCCCAACCCCAGCCTGCCCTCCACCCTGCAGTCTGAGGAAACTAAACAGAGAATGACAAGCAACTCTTCATGCCCCAGGAAAAACCTTACAGTGGCTCCCATGCCCTTAATGAAATGTCCAAAATTATTTGACTTTGAAGCTCCTTGGATGATTTAGACCTGACTCTCCTTTTTAATGACATTTCTCAGCACCTCCCCCGACACACCTGTAAACACAGACATTCTACAGTCCAGTGCTGCACATTCTCCCCTCCCCACGCACACGCCACACACCTACCTGGAACACTCTCCTCTCTACCACTGGCCTCTCCCTCATGCTTTTATTTGTCCTTAAATCCTCAGTTCAGACATCATCATCCTCCAGAAATCTTCACTGACATCCCTCCAGTGAGTTCTTAGTACCTAGACTCTCCTTATCACACCACGTATCCCATTATGTCACAACCGGCTCTTTGCTTTTCTAGCTCCTCCCAAGAGGGCAGAGACTATATTTGTCTTGTTTATATCCCTCAGCACCCAGCAATGCCTTGCCCTGGATAGGTGCTCAAGAAATATTTTCTGAAATAATAAAAGAAAAAATATAAGGAAAGCTCCTAGCACATGGACTAGCAGAAAAATGGGAATAAACACCAGCAGCAGCAGCCTGGTCCATTCCCACACGGAGCCACACCTCTCCGGTGGAAACACAGTTCGAAGGTCAGATCCTGCCAACAGTGGGTGAAATGGTGTGACAGCCCTAGTGTGGAGGTGTTTGCACACCCCTCCCTTCCCCCGCTCCCCAGTGATATCGATCTGTCCCTACCCAATCCCTGGTCCTCACCCCACTGCAGGCAGGAAAGGAATACTCCCTCACCCTCTTCTGAAACTTGATCTCTAGCCACAGAGCCAGTGACTGCTCTTTTTTCTGGAGGAGACCCCCTGACTCAGCCCCACTGCCCTGGGCAGCTGGAGAAAGGGTCCCTGAGATACGTAGCCTCAGCTTGTCATGACATCCCACCAGCCTCCACTCTGGAAATGACCCAGGACTAGGAGGTATGTTGGTGGCTGAGCCTTTGGGAAGAGCCCCACTGGTATCTCTCCAGATGCGTATCACTGGCTTTCTGAGTTATTATAACCGCTATCTGTGTTTCATCCCTGCAGGACTGTGCACTATTTGAGCAAAGAGATCATATATTAATCTGCATATCCCCCATAAGGCCTGACAGAGTAGAACCCCAGTAACTGTTAAATGGACAAATACATGAATTCAGAAATGGGTGTGTATGAGCATTCCCAGGCAGAATTTCCCATTGTCCACCTTAAAAAGATGGAGTTTGTCCTATTTTGGAAGACCTTCCCCCTGACTCTTAAGACATTGCAGAGTCAAGAGGATCTTTTTTCTTTGTCTAACCGAAATTTCTCTCAGATGCAACTTCAGTGCCGTTTCGTTTCGTCCACCTCCCTTGCCACTGGGACTAAAACATACTTCTTTGTGAGGAGACAATGGCTAATTTACCCTTTAGCCTCCTCTTCAACAAATTTAATCCCAGGCCCTTTATTGTTCCCTCCGGGGCCCCGCGGCCCAGCCCTTTCCCTGTTCCACTGCTCCTCAGGCTGTCTGCCAAGCTCTCTACGGCCTCCCTCGGCTGTAGAGGTAGGAAAGGGACATGGTGTTCTCCACAGAGCCATGTGCAAGCACACGGATGCTTACACACCCCTGGCCCAGACACACCTCTCTGCACCCATAATCTCGTCTTCAGTAGACATTTGCTCATAGGCAGCCTCTACAGTCACAAACTCACCTCCTCCACCTGAGCCCTAGTCCTGTGAATTCTCACACACCTGGACACACTCATAAGCACAGGAATAAACCACACAGACCTATGGTAAGCCGAACTAGGTGAAGGGTCTGACGCCCTCCCTCCTCCTCCCCCTCCCCTTGCTCCTCCCCCTCCAACTGCCCCTTCCATTGGCCACAAAGGGCCAAGCCTATTTTCTCTCCACCTCCAGGGTGATTTCCCACTTCAAGGCTGAAGGCAAGAAGCAAAGGAACAGAAGTTGGCTCCTCTTTCTTCTTCCTGCCATCCTCCCATTACCCCAAATCCTCAGTGCACCTTCCATTTGCCCAGAGGAACACCCTACTTTCCATCCCCCTCCCAAAGTCCACTCCTCTGGCTGTAAGGAGCACTGGCTTCTTGGGTTTTTACCTTTTGGAAGTGAACACTGAGGAAGCATTGGAAACTGACCCACAAGGCCAATGACAGGAGGGTCCTGAGACCCAGGGGATTCAGGCACAGGAGAGCAGGGTGATGCTCATTCATTCAACACCTTTTCTCACCTTTATGCTCCTTCAGCCCCTCTTTTTGCTAAGCCTGGAACAGCACAGATTTAGCCAGGCTCACAGCTGGGTTGACCTGGGCTCAATTCCCTGTCCCTCCACTTACTCTTTAAGTGTCCTTGGACAAATGTTTTGCCCCGAGACTCAGCTCATCTGAAAACAAAATGGAGAAATACAGTAATATCCACCTCGTGGACTACTGTGGAAATCTACCGGGAGAAAGCAGTGGTTCACTCTTGGCTCTGTAACATGCTGTGTGTCTCACGAACTTGAGAGGCATGTGGCCAATAATATGGCTACATTAAATCAGGGCAGGCTGCATGTGGTTGACTTTTTTAGTGTAAGTATCAGTGAATTCAATGTTGTCTCTGTAATGACATCACTCTCCTTCAGTGGCATTCCACAAGCCTTCCTGAATGGGAGATAAAGGGGGTGGAGGGATTGCTAATCCCCTGGGAATGTGCCCATAGGCTGCAGCCTATCTTATCTTTGCCACAGCCCAAGAGTGCAGCCAGCAAGCAAATACCATCTCCTGCTGATGTGTCAGGTCAGGCTGAGGCACTGGGCTGAGCTCTCCTGCACAGCCCTGGCAGGGGTTTGCTGCGCAGTCGGTGCTCCTTGGCAGCGGGAGCCACAGTGGGGCAGGGGAATGGTGGGAGAAAGGATGAAAGCTCACTGGTTGACAAATCTGCATGATCTGTCACCAGCAGGTACAATGTTAGGGTTTTCCCCTCCTTAGGAAACAAATGCCTGGAAGTAGAAAGGGGGAGGGAGGGCCAATGGAGGCCAGACCCCTGGGGTGGGACCTGACATGGGAGGCTGGCCCAGGGTCTCTCAAGTTCTCCCCCGACACAGGATCTGAGGGGAAGGCCATGGAGTCAAGGTGAGACACCTGGGAATCCCCTGGGGTTAGAAACTAAGGGTGGAACATTCATGCCTGGGTGAGGGCTGGGAGTTCGGGAAAACCTGACCCCAAGACGATGATCTCGGTCCAGGGCTCTCATCTAGAAGGGAAGCTTGCTGCTAGACTCTCCCCAGCTCACAAGTTTATGGGATCAATCAACAAGGCTTCCTCCTTCCAGCCATCACCACCAACTCCCTGCTCATTGCCCAACTTGCCAGTTCTTCACCATGGCAACCCCTGCCTGGGACCCCAAGCTAGTCTGGCCACCTTGCCCCACACCCGCAAGAGTGGCCTCCCCCCTAGAGACTTGCCAGTACCCAGGGTTGTACCAAGAGCCAGCCCCACCCTCCTGCAGTGGCTGAGAAGCATTCCTGCTGGGGGAAAGAGCCCAGCCAGGAACACCTGGCAGGACCGCCCAACTCCCTGGCTAGGTGAAGGGCCACTCCCTGTGGACAGTGCCCACATGTCCTGCATTATGGCTCCTAGCCCAAGAGGAACTGAGAGGACCTGTCCCTTCAACCCCAACCTACCCTCACCTAAACCAAGAGAGAAAGATGGAGAAGGGAATCAGAGAGGGGGGTGAGGACTGCAACCCTTCATCTCAACCCCCCCCACCATGTTCTTCAGTCACTGCACTCCCCCCATATTCCCTCTCCAACACTGGGCTCCGTGGCCCCAGACACAGCCAGAGTCCATCCAAAAAAAGGGATATTCTTTATTTAAATCAGCACACTCGGATTCTTCAGGCCCCAGCCCACAGTGGGCAGCCCCCTCTCCCCTCACCCCACCCCTTAGCCACAGCGAGGGGAATGGAAAATGAGAAGCCAAGAGGGCCTCTGCCAGGGCAAGCTGCCTCCAATGTGTGGTGAGCCCAGTCCAGCTGTGGCAGGGGTGGCAGCTGCCACAGACCCCTCCCTATAAATTAAGTCCCTGCAACCACAGCTGTGGGGGAGGCATATTTGTGGAAGGCAGGCCCAAAGGCAATGTTGCTGATCCCCAGCCAAGGAATGGATTCAGGGCACAGAGATCGGGGGAGAAGAGGTACGGAGGAGGAGGAAGAGGCCCTAAATTTTGGTCCCAGGGAAAAAGAAGCCAGTTGGTCCAGTTTTTGTGGGTTTGGAAAAGGGAATGTATTAGTAAGCACAGGGGGAGAGGCCACCATTGGGCACCCCCAGAGATACGCTAAGCCAGGCCCCTACCCTGGCAGAGGGGAGCTTGAGGGCTCCCGGGGACTCTTGGGGAATGTAACTGCTAAAATAGTAACCATCCAAGGAAGGGCAGGAGCAGGGCTGGGGTGGATCAGAGGATCTGGCGTGGCATCCCATAGCCAGTCATGCCTGCCTGAGACGCCCCACGGTTGGTGCCCATCTGTAACCCAATCACATTCTTGCCCTCTTGCAGCTGGTTGTCGGAGAAGTTCCGAGGGTTCTCCTTGGACTTCCTAGGTGGAGAGGAGTGTTGGTTAGGAGGAGGCTGAGGCTGCCCCAGTAATGTCTTCCCTGGACAGAGCACAGGCTTTGCTGTGGCGCGAGCACTTGAGCCAGCTCCGTCCTTGAGCCTTGGGCTCTCTGAAGCCACATCCTCTCCTCATCTTTCAAATGGGACAGAGGATTCTGTCCCATGCCAGAGGGTTAAGTAAATGAAGAATGTGAAAGTACTTTGTAAACGGCCAGCTGCTATAGCAGGTCAGTTGTTTCCTAGGGACAGGAATGGTCAGGGTGACCGCGCCTGCCCAGGGCCTGGGCAGCCCCAGCAATACTCACTTAGGAAACCAGTTGGGATCCCCAGAGAAAAGCCCATCATCCCGGGCTACTGCCAGCCCGCCCAGGTTCATCAGCGTCCGCTGCACACAGGCCATGTTCTTTCCTGGGAAGGAGAAGGGGATGCGTTGGCCTCAGCGGAGCTGGGTCCTGATGCCAGGGTTCCATCTCTATCCCTAATTCATGCAGGCCCAGCTTCCAAATTCATTTCCTCTTCATCCCCATACCTTTTCCATCCCAGCCCCCAACATGGTCAGCTCCCCAATAGAACATACGCATGTGCGAGCACACACACACCTGCACCCCACACACCCCTCTTTGTCCTCAGAGTGCCAGAAACCTGCTCCTCCTCCCTGGTCAAGATGGCCCAGCCCAGCCTCTGATCTTCTGGACGACAACCCCGAGGCCCCGGCCCACCTTCCCAGAGGTCCACAGTCTGGAAGATGTCGGTGGTGTTGATGCCGTAGCGCTCGGCGGCTTGCAGGAACTGGGAGATCTGCTCCATCTGCTTGAAGGCCATGGTGGAGGACTGAATCTTCTTCACTGGGGCCTGGCCCACAGGGTACAGTCCGTTAATGAGCTCACACAGCACCTGGGGAGGACAGCAGGTGTGAAGAGATGAGGTCATGCCTGCTGAAGATCAGAATGTGCTCCCTCAGCACTAGAGACAGTGAACCACAGAGGCTGCGCTCCTACCTGAGCACACCTGCGGTAAGCCTCAGGCTCTTCCTGCCCAGCCCGACTCTGAGGCCAGAGCGGAAAAGACACCTTGATATTTTAATATCATTGACTACAGTCCATCCCCGACAGTTCTTTCCTTAGAGGATTCTATGTGTTGTCTCCACGGCAGAGAGGCCCCTTCACCCGCCCCCTTCACGCAGTGGGAGGAAGGAAAGCCCGAGTCCTCTCCAGGCTCAGGAAGAAGCTGGGTCAGGTATGCCCTCAGTTCTTCAGGTGAAACAATCTCCAGCCCCCACACCCAGCCCTGCTCTCCCAGGACTTCCAGTCCGAGGGGCCCAGCTCTCACCGTGCCATCCTTGAGCCAGTTCTGGAAGTTCTCACGCCCAGGCTGAGGCCGGCCCACGTCCTTGCGGCACTGGGTGGTGATCCACTGGATCAGGATCTGCTCCAGGTCTGCATCGTACTGTTTCTCAATCTTCTGCTGCACCTCCCGGCTCAGGCCATAGGCAGGTCCTCTGTTGGCCATTCTGAAGGGTGGCGGTGGCTGTGGGGAGCAGGGAAGGGGAAACACCCAACCCTTTGGTTAGCACTCTGCAGGCTGTGGGGCGGGGGATTCTTCCTGCAAGGACACACATATCTCCAGTGGGCCCCGAGGTGAGAACAGCTGCCAATTGAGGGAACTCTCATCTTGAGCCCTGAACATGGGCTAGAACAGCACTGCTCAGAACTCGGGCCGCCGGGCCACCTCCATGTTCCCCCACCCCTATGACAAGCAGCCAGTTTACTATTAAGGCTTCCCAATAGATTTCGTTTGAATGGTTCCACTACTACAATGAACCATAAAGCCCACTGGAATAGAACATAGGGTAAATGAGGGGGCTTAGCCCCTCATTTGGGGTGGTAAGCTTTAACAAAGGCAAACTGGTTAGTCTAACCCCAACCTTGCTTGTTTCAGCTCTGGGAAGGATAATAATGATTTGGGGAAAGGAGGGAGAATACAGAGTGGCTTGGGAAACCTATGCCAGGAGCTACATAGAGGGCTGTGTAGATCAACCTGCAATCAGCCACTGAGTTTAAACTGAGCGCCCACTAGGCAGAAAGGCGGTCTTCCCAAAGATGTCTATGTCCTAATCGCCACATCCTAGGAATGTTGCCTTACACGGCAGAAAGGGATTTTGCAGATGTGATTGAATTAAGAATCATGAGACAGGGAGAGTACCCTGGATCGTGCAGGAGGGCCCAGTATACTCACAACAAAGGTCCTCCTAAGCAAAAGAAGAAGGCAGGTGAGTCAGAGTGGGGAAAGTGAGAGGAAGCAGAGGTCGGAATGCAGGGCCATAGCCACACAATGCAGGTGCCCTGTGGAAGGTGGAAAAGGTAAGGAGATGGATTTTCCCCTAAACCCCCCTTGAGGAATGCAGACCAGCCCACACCTTGATTTTAGCCAGTGAGACCTCTGTTGGGGTCTTTAGAACTGTAAGATATTAAATGTATGTTGCTTTAAGTCACTCGGTTTGAAGTAATTTGTTACAACTGGAATAGGGAACAAACACAGGAGCCCTGGTATTTTTAGAGAAACTGGGAAGAGAGAGAGGGATGGGGAAACACACAGAAAGATTTCTTTCACTTAGTTTGAGGTTGGGAAGAACCGGGTGGTTTCCTGATCGATGGACTGAGTTGGCAGCACCTCATTGTGAGCAGTGTCCCCAGCCACAACCTCATCGCCTGGGTCCCACACCCAGAGGCCTGTTGGCAATGCTGCCGATGCCAGGGCCCCATCCCTCCCTGGGTGGGCAGCTTGCTACTTGCAACAGAGTAGTTGTCTGGTTGTGTACAAAAAGAGACCCCCAGGACAGGCACCCATGCTCAGAGAGGGGAAGGAGCCACTCCTCCCTCATCTGGTTCCAGGCCAGGTCAGACCTAAGGGATGAAGTCATTCTGGCTCCCTCTCTCCCATGCACCCCAGGTTAGACAATCCTGCCGCCCCCTCAGTGGGCCTTAAGGCTCTGCCTCGGTACATGTCGTCAGACCACAGGGGCAGCAGCTGCCCCAACCCTCTCACAACTCTCAGCCCCAGTGGTCCTGTCTCAGGCCAGTCCCCTCCCCCACATCCAACATGGCTGCCCCTTTCCACTCCAGCTTATCCAGCTGCACACTTCCGGCAGAGATCCTCCCCCCAAATCAGTTATTTTTAAACCTCATTAAGAGCAACCCACCCCTCCCCACTTCCCCCAGCCTGGAAGCTGGGCCAGATAAATGTCAGTCTGGGCCTTGACCCCACACGGCCAGACACGCACACACACACTGAGCTGGGGGAGGGCAGGTGGTTCAGTGACTGAGGCCTGTAGAGAGGAGACAAGATTTCCCACAGGCCAGTCCCAACTACTCAGCGACCACTCAGTCTATGACCTGTGACCCCTGCCACACAGGGGCATGGCTGAAGACCTGGGAGGAAGGGGAGGGGGCTGGGGGATACCGTGTTTTCCCAGTAAGCCACCCTTTCCCAGCCCAATGTCCAGACCTCTCTTCTGGGGCAGTTTCACTATGGTCACTTGGGCCTCAGGACTGTGTCTCCATAGGCCCAAGTGGCCCAAGCCCAGGGATTATAGTGGCCCAGAGAGAAAAAGGGCAGAAGAATGATGAACTTAGACACCAGGGTTAGGAGGAGAGGGCAGGCCCAAAGCCTGACCCCTCCAGTGTCCCTCACAGGCAGGACAGACACAGCCTTCCGGACCCACTTCTGGACACTGGGTAGTCTCAGGGCCCCTCCCCCACTCTGGCGCCTGGATACAGCTGGTCGTGTCACAGCCTCCAGCTGCAGTGTCCAGGCTCTACTCTAGGGCCATTGCCCTAGAGCCCTGAGGTGCCAGAATCATAGGGCGGAGCTTGAGGAAGGGGCAAACCCAGCCAGACCCAGCCGGGCCCAGCTGCCCAGCCTGTGGCAGCTAGTTCTCCTCCCCACCCCCACAACAGCAGGCGAGGGTTGATGGGCTGTGGCTGCTGGAGCAGGAGTGGCCCACCCTAGTGACAGCCACAGAACCTACTGCTGCCCTCCCTCAAAGGAAGGGAAGACAGCCAGCCAGTTGCCTGCCGGGGTGAGGAGAAGTTGTGTGGGAGATGCCCAGAGCAGAGGATCCAATGGGAAGACAACAGCTGAACGACTTGGGGGGTGGGTTGGTTGTGAGTAATCTAAACTGGAGAGCTGCCTGCACCTGTGGGAACTGCCCCGCACCCCTATGCAGAAGGGCACAATAGTTGGAAAAGGAGCAGAGGCCACAAAAGGCACTGGGGCCCTCAGCCCTGCCCAGACCCTGGGCTGGAAGCTTACCTCACCTCCCAGACCAATGCCAAGAAAAAGGCGGATGCAGGGTGGGGGTGGGAGGATTTGAGGGTTCCTGGCTGGAGGTTTAATTGGGAAGACAAAGGGACTCTCCATTCATTGTGCAGATAACATAAGGGAACTTCTCAACTCAAAACTGGGATTAAGACTACTCTGAAAGGGCACAATCGGAGTACCTGTCCCCCCCAAAAATGCCACATGGAACAAGCAGAAGCAAGGATGGTGGGAGACCTACAATTGGGATAGGCCCGTTACGGAGAGTCAGAGAGTCCGTGAGCAGGAGAGAAAACTGAAGCTACACAAACAGGAAGCCACAGGCCTGCAGGAGGAGGGGTGAGGTGGGGAATGTTGCCATGGCTTCTGTGTACCAAACAGGCACAGGGCAGGGGGCGGGGGCACCAGACAGAAACAGGCACTCAACACAGAGGAGTGGTGAGGAGGCTCCAAGCTCCGGGCAGAGGTGGGTCCTTGGGAAAAGAGCCACCTCACCACAGTTCTCAGGAATAGCCAGGTGCAAGGCGGCCCTCAAGGAGGCCGCTGTAGAGGTACAGAAAGCGTGTGGAGAGGGGAAGTTCTGAGTTTGGGGGCAGAGAAGTATACTAAAGGAAACAGTTCAGGAGAAGAAGAAATGGCCTGGGGACAGAAGCTATATTCTGAGCTAAAGCCCCATACCTGAAAACTGTGTTGGGAGAAGGGACGGGGTGAAGGGAGGATTTAGAGGCCAACCCCCAGGGGGCAGATGAGGCACTGGCACGGGAGGGGGTTGCAGTCACACAGACTACTTGTTGGTTCTGGAATGATAGGGCCCAGCTGGCCCCACCCTACCTTAGACTCCTCAGCGGTTTTAGGTTATCCCTAAGGCCTAAGAGAAATTAGGAGGGACACTGACCCAAAGAGATGTCTCTCAGTCTTGTGCCCTGGGGTCAGAGAGAGAACTAGAGAGAGCCCATCCAAGTCTCCTCCTGCACCCGACCTCATTTCACCCGCTGCCTTCGCTCCCTGACACCACGTTCCCCCAAGACTTTCCTGGTGTGGGCTCCAGGCGGCAGGCCACTTCCGGTCCTGCAGGTCCGGCCCCCTCCTGGCCACACCCTGGGCCTTAACGACTGAGGGGATGAGTCACACCGCCTGCCGCTGGGGTGACGCAGTGGTCTGAGCAGCCCGCCAGCCGGCCAGCCCGCGGCCACCATCGGCTTTCTCAGCAGCGGGAGGCTTGGGGTGCGGGCCTCGGCTCACGTAGGTGCAGGAAGGCTGGAAAGCAGCCATCCCTGCCACCACCACCCCCCTGTCAGGGCACCCAGGGTGGGCGCAATCGGTGCTGCAGCCCCCAAACGCCTGCGCTAGGGCACTCTCCTGGAGCAGGCTGCGGCTTCAACCCCCGCCTGCACTGGGGAAGGCAGGCCACCGTGGGACGCGAGCGCAAGCCCGTGACCCCGAGTCCCCTGGAAACGAGCTGGCAGACGAAGTAACAGAAAGGACAGCCTCGGGGCACAGAGGGCAAGCACCACCCGCACGTGCTCCTGGAACCAGGAAGTGCAGGGTCGCGCGGAGCTGGCCCGGGGACCCGGGCGCGCAGTCGCTCGGGGCCAAGTAACCAATCCCCGACGCCCTCCTTCCTCGGCTGAGACCCAGGGCTGGAGCTGGTGCGTGGGGTGCAGTCCCTGGGGCCCTGCTCCGGGCGGATGCCCCGTCTGTGCACCCGCAACAGGGCCTGACCTCATCGCCCAGCAATGCGGGTCAAGGCTGGGGACTGAACCTGGGAGCGCGGGGCGGAGCGGTCCTCGGACCCTTGCCTCCCAGCCTTGGGTCCGCAACCTCAGTAGGGCTGGTCGCCAGCAGGGCTTCTCGCTTTCTAGAGACACGCCCCCACCCTCACTCCCCCCACCCCCCAAAATAAAAACGCTGCTCACCTTCGGACGGGCAGGAGAGCGCGCACTCCGGGCGGGGATGCAGGGCAAGTGGAACGACCGGGTTGGGCTGGGGGGTTTTCAGCGGCTCCCGCCTCGGACGGGGCGGACCAAGGGCGGGGCGAGCGCTGGGAGGGTTTAAAGGCGCCGTAGCTCGAGCATTGGACCATGGTTAGAAGAGAGGGTCAGTGGATGAGACCCTGGGTTAAAGGATCTGGGGAGTCGATGGCTCCAAGAGCAGTGGCAGTAGTCTTCACCCAGGACAACCTCTACCCCACAACCCTAGAGCCAGTAGACTTGTGCCCCAGTGGGAAACTTGGTGCCTAGGTTAACTCAAGACTCTAAGGCTGTGGGTGAGTTCATGTGGGAAGAATCCCCTCGGTTTGAAAAGGATGATTAGGTAAACGGAGGCACAGGAACACACACCTCCCCCCACCCCCGGCTGACTAGGGTGTGACAGGATTGGGGCTTGCAGGCCAGGACAGTACCTGCACCTACTTCAAGCCTAGGCAGGAAAACTTAGTGAGGTCATTCCTCGCCTGGTGCTCAAGAGGTGTGATCGATCAGACCTGGGACCCAGGGTTCAGACCTGACTGTTCCCCCCTGCATCTCCTCATTAATCCTGGAGAGTGCAAAGGAGGAGTCCCAGTGGAGGAGGCTGTCAGTTCTGAGAGTGGAGGGGAGCAGTTTGGAGGCTAAGGGAGTGCTCCCTGCTTTCAGCTTTCAGCCTTTAAGTCCGCCTGGGGTGGAGTCCATGCTTACACCCATCAGTGGAGCTCTTCATATATGGTTGGAGTCCTTCACATATGGTAGAAGCCTGTTTCACCTAGCTTTTAAAAACATCAACCAACCCCACCTAGCCCGACACTCCGGCGCCTCCTGCTCATTCCCTAGATGGCCAACCTTTTTACTTCTGTGCTGTTGCTGTCAGGGGTGCTTTTCCTCCCTTGACTGATTTTCACTTGCTCTACACCTCACCCACTGTTGATTTGGGGACAAATTCGTAAAGCACTGGACCCCTCAGTTCCCTAGTGTAATAGGACAACCTACCTCGGATGTGGAGAATTAACTGATACGTGGAAGGATCTCAGAGTAGCGACGCACACCGGGAGTGCTCAGCTGGTCGCTATCATTGTTCCCACTCTGAAAACGGAGGATCCCCCACATGAAGCATTTGTCCCAGCACAAGCTGTTTACTCCATCCTTGTGTTACCACAATAACCAACACATTGCTTTATCACAGATCTCATTGCATCACACTATAACTATTTCTTTACTTGTCTGTCTCACAGAGTAGAAAGAACTTCCCAAGGACAAAGGCATGACTTAGTGGCGTGACTTAGTGAACTTTGTGTTTTCTCAGTAGCTGACTTCAGTAGGCATTCAATAAATGCTTTAGGAATGGATGTTGAATGCACCTCCATTCATTTAGGAAGAGTGCCTTCCTTTTTTTTTTTTATCCTCACCCGAGGACATTTTTCCATTTTTTGTTCAGGTAGAGTGGGAGGGAGAGAGAGGAACAGAGAGAGAGAGAGAAACATTGACGTGAAAGAGACACATCGAGTGGCTGCCATCCACACGACCAACCAGGGCCAGGGACAAACCGCAACCAAGGTACATGCCCTTAGTGGGAACTGAACCCGGGTCTCTAGGGACCGCAGGCCAACGCTCCAACCGCTGAGCCAAACTGGCCAGAGCAAGAGCGCCTTCCTTTTAAGGGTTCAAGATTTTCCCACTTCCCTCTCGCATTCAGAGTCAGACAACAGAAATTTTCCAGACTTTCTTTATTCACCTGTATAAAACCTCACCCATACCACAAACACCACACACACACACACACACACACACACACACACACCCTCCAGCAGACCTAGGAACCCTGTCCTAGTCCCCAGGTTCTAGGGGCTCAGCACATACATCCCACACCACACCCACCCAAGCCCAACATCAGGG